TGGCGCTGTGCTCGCGCACAACGATCGTCTGAGCGTGACGGTGATGTTGCAGGGTGGACGGCGGGTCGTCAGGCTGCGTGTGGCGCACGTACGGCGCGAAGATTCGGGAGTGTACACGTGCGAGGTGCCGGGGTCGCCACGCAGCGTAGCCGTAGATATCCTCATCACCGTGTTCGAAGGTGAGGCCTGTGCGCACACACACACATGCACGCACAATGACGCACGCACACACACACACACACACACACACATACACGCACACGCACACACACACACACATGCACGCACACACATGCACGCACACACACGCACACACACGCACGCGCACACACGCACGCACGCACACACGCACGCACACACATGCACACACGCGCACGCGCACACACGCACGCACGCACACACGCACGCACACACATGCACACACACGCACGCGCACACACGCACGCACGCACACACGCACGCACACACATGCACACACGCGCACGCGCACGCACACACGCACGCGCGCACACGCGCACGCGCGCGCACACACGCACACGCACACACACACTGGATATCTTCGTGTGTCGTATGCTTCTCCTTTCTATAAACTACAAATATACTAAACCATATGTACCATATCTACCATATCAGGAGTCTATTGATAGACTCCTGACCATATGTATCACCTGTACTGTCTGCCTCCGCACTGACATTTTTGCAATGCGTCAGATAGTTAGTTATATAGTAATAAGATACACTATATAAGTAATTATCAGAGACATTCTATGATATCTACAATCTGACGTCGCTTGCAGTACGGGGCACCACTCCTCCGACGTCCGTCACCGACTTCGTCCCGCCCATGGTCACCAAGGTACCGCGCGTCGGCGGCGACGCCGTGTTACAATTCGTCAGCACGACGCTGCCGACGACGACGCCGATCAGCGGAGACGACGACGACCGTCCGGCGGCCATCTTGGAGGTCAGCCGTGATGCCGACGTTCCCGCTGGGGCGACGCTTGAGCTGAGATGTGCGGTGAACAACGTCGGCGAAGCTACCGTGAGTGCGAGAGTACATGCTTCTATTGTTTAATTCTTTGTTGATTTGGGGATGTTTATACGTATGCAATGTGTACATTCTACACATATAATATTTATATTGATTATTCATAATAATAATTATTATAATAACCAGTCGCCAAGATCATGTAATCCAATTTTTAATTAAATCGATCACTAATTTATATCCCCGCGCGATCATATCAAAGTTTGATGTTGCCGACATCGCAGGTTTTATGGAAGCATGCCGCCGCCGGACGCAGACCGCGCGTGCTGACCTCTGGTGGCACGCTGGTCGCCAACAACCGACGTCTGAGCGTGCTCGTTTCCGGCGGCAGAGAACGCCGCGTGGTGGCGCTGCGCATCAGAAACATCGGCCGTGGCGACGCCGGCACGTACACGTGCGAGGTCGGCAGCCGACCGCCGGTCATCGCCGACGTCTACATCACCGTCTACGGAAGTGAGTGCTCACGTGAAGCAGCGTGGTTTACATCCTCCCCCGTGACAAGTGCCCCCCACCTTCTATACTGCGCATGGGCGTGAGCGTGTCTCGAATTTCACCTTTAGTGCTCTCGCGCAGTTTAGATGTAGTGGTAGCGCTTGACATGAGGGGGATGTATAGAATACCACAGTGGCATGATATATTGTCTTTTCCCTTCTCTCTCTCTCTCTCTCTCTCTCTTTCATTCTCTCTCTCTCTCTCTCTCTCTCTCTCTGTCTCTCTCTCTCTCTCTCTGTCTC